ATTGGGACTCTCATACACTGCTGGTGGGACTGTGGAATGGCACAATCACTGTGGAAAGCAGTATGGCGATTCCTTAAAAAGTTGGAATTAGAAATACCATTTAACCCAGCCATTCCATTACTAGGTATATATCTTAAAGAAGTGAGAGCCATGACAAGAACAGGCATGTGCACACCCATGTTCATCACAACATTATTTACGATAGCCAAAAGATGGAAACAACCTAGGTATCCATCAGCTGAGGAATGGATAACCAAACTATGGTACATACACACAATGGAATACTATGAAACCCTAAAGAATAACATAGAATCTGCAAAACACCGCGTGGCATGGATGAACTTGCAGGACATTATGCTGAGTGAAATAAATCAATCACAGAAGGACAAATATTGTATTAGTCCATTATTGTAAAAGTCAAGGAGAGGTTTATATATGGAAGGAAATTTTCTTTGTTGGTTACCAGGGGTGTGTGTGTGTGGGGGGGAGGGAACACTGTTAAGATAGGTAGAGATGAGTATTGATTTGGGTGAAGAGAAGGGCAATGTACCAAATGTGAGTGAGCAACATGGTGGTATTGAGGAAAAGGAAGACGTAGAGAGGTACATGGGAGAAACAGACAACAAAGATGAACCCTTTTGCACATACAGTACTGCGTTGTCAGGGAAGGCAAGCATGGGTATATGGGCAGATAGATGGGTGGACAGGCTGAACTATTATTAGTTATGTCTATGAAGCAGGGAGTGTACCCAAGACCATGTATAGGGTTGGCAGACAGTGGGCCTAGAAGTGTATTTGTAAGATCTGTAAGAATTCCCACATGTATAGTAGAGCTGATGAGGGACAAGGTTGTGGTCACTTCTTGGTCACAGCCAGCTACCCAGAGGGACAGAGTAGTTGAACCTGTGGGCTTGGGACCATAGCCTCAGGGGACATCAAGCTCAATTGGAGTAACATGCTGCACAAAACATTGTTCCACCTCCTACTTTGGTGAGTAGCGACTGGGATCTTAAAAGTTTGCAAGCAGCCATCTAGATGCAACAATGGGTCTCTCCTCATCCAAAGCAAAGAAGAATGAAGAAAACCAAAGGTTCATGGAAACAATTGGTCCTAGCAACTGGTGCACCTTGTGATCCACAGCCTATATGACTGTGAGACCAGAAGAACTAGATGGTGCCCGGCTAC